GGGAAGGAGGGAGGGGAAGGGAGAGGGGGGAGGGGGGGAGAGGGAGAAGGAGAGGACTGAGAGAGAGAGAGGAATGAGAGAGAGAGAGAGAGAGAGAGAGAGAGAGAGAGAGAGAGAGAGAGAGAGAGAGAGAGAGAGAGAGAGAGAGAGAGAGAGAGAGAGAGAGAGAGAGAAAGACCCTGAAGACCGTCGGATCAAGCGGCCGATTCATCGACTCATCACCAAGCAATCACATAAAAAAAAAAAAATACATAAACTGAAACGTCTGCAGCAGTGCTAATATTCGTATATGTGACGTACCTAGCCTCTCCTCTTGCTGTCATAACAATAATCTTGAAGACTCCTGTTGTTCTTGATTTTTACAAAAATTAGACTAGTCACGTATCCCTCACATCGCCCCTGCATTTGGCGCCGATTGCAGAAAAGGTGTGATTAAAGCACTGAAGGAAGACCACACACAAGCCTACATCCAAAGGCTAGGACACGGGCGTGGGCGTGGAACAGGGGCATGGGCGTGGACGTGGGGAGACGTGTCGAATTACCCATTATCACCCTCTAAGTGGGCGTAAACGAGAGACATCTAGCGGGAAGAACTTGCGGGTCTGAGCAACGGCTGCGCATGTGCAGATATCGGCAACGTGACAACCAGAGTGTGGGCGTTGGGATCCCAGGTGGCGACGCCGTTCCTCTGGTCCACCTGGCGAGGGAGGGGCAGGTGGAGCAGGTGGTTGGGCGAGGCCAGGCGAAGGGTGCTGGAGGTGACTTCGAGGTTGACTTCGGTGAAGAGGTCGCCGGGCAGCACGACGCGCACCACCAGGTCCTCCTCCCCGCGGCCGTTGCTCGCCAGGCTGCTCAGCTGAGGGGGGTGAGTGGGACAATAATAAGGAAAGGGCGAATAAAGAGAGAGATGGAGGGAGAGGAGGAGGGAGGAAGAGCTTGAAGGAAAGGTGGGAATGGGGGAGAAGATGAGAGAGGGGTAGGAGGTAAACAGAAATATGGAGAATGAGAAAGAGAAAAAAAAGAAAGAAAATAAAACAGAAAAGGGAGAGTGAAAAAGAGAGAAAGGGATTGGGAAGGAGAGAATACTTTTATAACTTCTATACAAAGGCAAATGACATTCCTTTTTATGGAACAGTCACAAGAGAAATCATCTACATTTTACAATTCTATTTTTACTAGACATGATAAATGCGATGGAAAATGAGAGTCAGAAGAAAAGTCTAACAAAATCTTTCGAAAAAAAAAAGAAAAGAATGAACGAAAAAGAACGTCTATGCTACAAAACAAAAAAATATTCTCCTCAACCGGTACGAAAAACAACTGCATACCAATCATCACATTTTATGTATATTAGCTATTTTTAAAATGTCTTATCAATTTATTTCTTAATAAGACGTGAACTCCCACTACCTGCCACGACTGACTCGTTATCCGAACTGTGAAGAAACCCGAATTCGAAAATAAAGGTCTTTTCGGTTTCTGTCGTCTGAGTAGGAGTCTTGCCCGCTCGAAACGTCATGATTTATTTCCCCTTTTCGTCGTAGGTGTTTTTTTTGTTTTTTTTTTTGGTCGTTCCGTTAAGATTATTGGTATTCTAAAATAGTTACCGGTAAATACACTTGGTTGGCGGTTACACGTTGCCTGTAGTTGACCTCATATTCGGGTTGGGGTCGAGGGTCAGCGGGTTCCACACATTGACCTAGCTTCACCTCTTCTACCTCCCAGACGTCACCTGATGAAAGAACAGGGAAGAAAAAATGGCAATAAAGGCCTTTCTTGTATATTTATACGGTCTCGGTTATCATTATCAGGAAATTTGTTTGTTACTTAGGATAATAATTCGCTTCATTTAATACATATTTTAAAACTATGATTTATATGCCTTGCAACGAACTTAAAATCATTAACATGTTCGTTACTTGTCTGTCTGCCTACTTCCCAAACAATCTATCTGTTTATCTAGTTGTCTCTTGCTATTTATCTATTTACCAATCTATCTATCTAGTTTGGTTTATTTAATCACCTGTCTATCCATACTCTTATCTGTCAGTCTACCTCCATATACCTTTAACTATCTCTTTCTTAACATTTGCACATTTGTCTGCTTATCTATTAAATACCATTTTACTCTGCCAATCTGAGCAGCGCGTCCAGAAAGAAAGAAAAAAAAATATCGAAAACGCCTTTTCCCTTTTATTTTCCCTTTTTTCTGGCTGTTTCACCGGATCCAGTACCATATGTGTCATTCAATATCTTTTCTATTGTCCCCGATTCTCTGATACTATTGTAAACTTCATTGATTTAGCATTTTTTTCTCATCATTTCCATATAAACATTCGTACCCAACAGCGATTCCAAGGATTTATTCCATGAAACACTCTTTGTTTTGGTCGATTCGCGGCATCCAGCACTGTTCGCGAGATCGGTTCCACTTCTGGAGCTGGACACCTTCGTTATGCCCGTGAGGCTGGCGGGTGTCAGATCTGAGTGGGAATAGAGG